ACTTACTACCAATGCTACAGTTAAGACAGTGTGGTAATGGCATAAAGATAACATAAGTCAATAAAATTAAGAGTCCAGAAATAGACCCATGTATCTATGGTCAACTGATTTCAACAGGATGCTACGACTATTAAGAATATTCTTTTCAATAAATGGTGCTTGGATATCCACATGCAAAGTAATCAGTTTGGAATACTACCTCACACTCTATGCAAAAATTAACTCAAAATGTATCAAAGATCTAAATATAAGAGCTAAGTCTATAAAATTCTTAGGAAATACAGGGAAATATTTGTGACTTTGGTTAGGCAATAGTCTCTGAAATATGATATTAATGGCACAAGCAACCAAAGAAAATAATAAAATTAGTCTTCATCATAATTCAAAACTTTAATACATCAAAGAACACTATCAAGAAAGTGAAAAGATGCCCTGTCAGTATGGCTTAGTTGGTTGGAGTGTTATCCTATGCACTGGAAGGTTGAAGGTTCGATTCCTGGTCAGGGTACATATCTAGATTGTGGGTTTGATCCCTCGTTGGGGCACATGCAGGAGGCAACTGACTGATGTATCTCTCTCACATCAATGTTTCTCTTCCTCCCTCTCTAAAATCAATTTTAACAAAAGAAAAAGAGCCAGTCCTCCCCTTAAAATAAAGGTGAAAAGATAACCTAAAAATGGGAGAAAATACTTGCAAATTATAATTTGATGAGGATCTAATATCCAGAATATAGAAAAAATTCTTACAATTCAAAGATAAAGACAATCCAAATAAAAACCAAGGATTTGAATGGACATTTCCTTGAAGAAGAAATACAGATTCCAATAAGCACGTGAAAAGATGTCCAACATTTATTAGGAAAATGCAAATCAAAACCACAATGAGATACCACTTGACACCCACTGGAGGACTATAATAATAAAGACCAACTATAACAAGTTGGTGAAGGTGTGGATGAATTGGAATTCTCATATATTACATGAGAATGTAAAATGGTGTAGCTGCTTTGAAGAATAGTTTGGCAGTTCCTCAAATAGTTAGAGTTACCACATGATATACCAATTCTACTCCTAGGTATATAACCAAGAGAATTGAAAAATGTCTACAGGGTGTTCCTTATGTCTTTATCCTCTGGGTGAGGGAGACCATGAGGCATGGGGAGAAATAAGGCAAAGTCCCTCAGGTGATTTCTCCATGTAAAATCTGGAATCAGGGTGAAATAAGAACAAAATATCCCACTCAAGTCCCCAAATCTCATTTCTAGACCAGAGTGCAGTTGTATTTCTCTGAAAGAACCCTATCATAACCCAGGACAACATCCTGTAATATCCCTGGCTTATCACATACAAGTTCTTGAATTCTTGGACACAGAAAACCCTTAACCCTTGTTTCACCCATAGAAAGAAAGGGCCTCAGGTAACTTCTTCTTCCAAAGGACAGAAT